TATACCGAAATCGGAGGTATCACCGCCACACTTGACAATATATCAAGTGCTAAGGCTTATAAAATCTCACTAATTACAACTCAATAAACTAAGTGAGCTATTAATAAACCTTTACAAACTCGTTATAAACAAACTAATTGAAACACTTGAGCTCTTTTAACTACGATCACTTGATCAACATGCTTAAACAATTTTGTCTGCTCACCATTAAGGACAAATTTCAAAATAGATCGTCGCAGGGCCACCATAAGAAAAAGACATGGCCGCAAACACAAGTAGCACAACAAAACAACATACACACGTCAGCAAAAGTTGAGTAATCATCTTATATCAGAATACGGAGATTAGTAGAATAATTAACATTACTAGCTCAATTAAACAATGTAATTCGAAACTACATTACACATTATACTCTGGAAATAACTTTGTCAAACTCAACCTCGAATAATAATAAGAACCATTACTCAATTAACTCATCTATCCCATAAGGGTGTCATGCTCTTTGTTCTATACCTAGCCTTGGACATGGATAATTCAAATAAATAAACCAACAAGTATAAAAAACATGAATACTCTCAATTCAATAACCAGAAAACACCTCTAACCATGACCAATATGGGTCAAATCCCACAGTAGGGGACCATAAAAAAATAAATAGTAAATGATTATCATCTCCTTACCAACATGCCAAGCACTAAGGTCTATAACGCCGAGCTTCAAACCAAGAACAAAGTATTAATTCTCAACCTTTTGATCTCATACTTCGATCAAATAACCATTCACAAGCTAGTAAATAATATCTCAATATGGCACATGTTTCCAAATAATATAACAATTCGAACTCAATTCAATCCTAGTATATCTCAACTCTTATAGGGTTATAAAACTAATACCCAAATATAATTAAATCTCAACCCAATATAAAAGTAGTAACTCATCTAAAACCTTAAATAACAATACTTCCTAACGCAACAACATTAAAACCTTAAAATAAAAACACAATTAATCAATATAATACAATAAAATAATACATCATACATCACCATAAATTAACCATATATTTACGAAACATGATCATATGAATAACAAATCATAAAATTTGCGTATAATAATACAGAGTACATTTAATAGACAAATTATAACCAAACAAATCCAATAAATTTACACACAATAATAATCCAAAATCCAACCACTTTATAATCAAACAATTCCAAAGGATCAATAGTGTGATTACCTAACAATTAAAGGAGTTAAAATATGTTCTACGCCTCCATCCACTTGCAGGTACGAAATCGAAAATCGTCTCATATTCTTGATATGTACAACACCAATAAAGCTATGTGATAATTATAAAAAGAATATCACTAGCATCCAAATTGTGCATGACAACAGTGATTGAAAATTATTTCCATTAGTGCTCTTGCTACCCAGTTTTTACACGCCAATCAAGATTGAGCTTCAGCAACAATATATGAAGGTATACATCAAAAGGGGCAAAGAAAATAAACGGCAAATGGAAACAGAAGCCATGTAAAAGGTTTTATATAATTCTAGCTTCTAGGGTTTAAAGATATATATACATATATTTAATAGCTCATAAAAGAGTCCGACTAAAGTAATAGGAGGTTTTATAAATTTATAAAATAAAAAGATAAAATATAGAATATATATGAAAATTCTAATATTATATTTTATAAAATAACAAAATACACGAGTATTACAGTATTACACCAAGTACCATCAGTTATTTGAATGGCAATCACAAATTTTCTGTACTTTCTCGTCTTCAGAGAATTGTGAAAATAAGCAGAGTTCTCATCTCTTATCTGTAACCGTTTTATCTTAGCCTTTTGACTTAGGTAAGAAAAATAGATATCCTTAACCTTCTGGAACTCTTTTAAGGTTCTTTACTTAGAATCTCTCAAAGCATCATCCTGACAGCCACCTTGTTGAACTTATTTATGCACCTCCTCAAGATCTTTTCTCAACTGGCAATATTGCATTTCAATGTCAGTATAATCAGTGCATGCGGCCCTTCAGAGCTTGCTTCAGCATCTTTAACTTTTTGGTAACTCTACACATTATTTTAACTCCATGTTATCAATTCCCACACATTTCTAACAACCTAATCAAAATCAGCATGGTTAGCCCACATATTAAGAAACATGAAAGAACCATTCCAAGACTTGACCACCCTATCTAGATGAATCATAGCAAGGTTGTGGTCAAACCAGGACTCAGAACATAAGACTCTGGTAAAGTCAAGATCCAATCTTCATTTACTAGAGTCCTATCTATCTTAGAAAAAACTCTGCTGCTCCCATGTTGCTTATTATTCCATGTGTACCTACACCCAATCTGAGTCACATCAGCAACCCCACACTCTAGAATACACTTCCTGAAAGGCTCAAACTCATGAGAAGTAATAGGCCTTCCAACTCTATCATCATAGTTCAAAGGACAGTTGAAATCACTTGTAATCAGCCATGGACCCTGCATACCATCACCAATCTCATTCAAACCTGTCCAGAGACCTTCCCTTTCTATACTATCATTCACCCCATACACAAAGGTGCAATGAAAATAAACTTTCGAAGCCAGATTTTTTACTTTCAGGTGCATAAATTGCCCCTCCACCTTTAACACCTGTACTTGAAAAAAAATCAAACGACCAGGCAACCAAAATCCTCCCACCATCAACAATAGAGAAATTTGAAGACAAACACCATCCCTGAAACAGATTATTCTGAACTACAGAAAAGTTATCTCTCCTTATTTTAGTCTTAACCAAATAGCATAAACCCACTCTCTGCTCTTAGAAGAAAATTCTTAATCTCCTTCTGCTTTGAGAGGCCATTAAGACCCCTCACATTCCAGCAGAGCACTTTATCCATGTAACCCATTTTCCTACCTTAGACCTAGGGCCCTATCATCCATTCCCTCACCAAACTCCAGATTTTGATCAGCACCCAGAGCCACATCACCCAATCCCTCACCAAACTCCACTTCTTCAGCATGCTGCAATTTCTCAAAAGAGTTACTTACAATAACCTCAACTCTAGCAGATTCATTGCCTTTATCAACAGCCTTCCTTCCTTTACTTCTTGCAATTTCCACCCATCCTCAGTAACTCTCCTATTTCTTGTAGTAGTAGCACCCTACCCATTCTAAACAGACTTAGATTGAATCAATTTAGGTCGCCACTCCTTCCTAACCTTCTTACATCCCCCATCTTCATGCCCAATCTACTTGCAAAGAGAGCACTTAACAGGTTTCCACTCAAAAACTACTTTTTGGTGAAACATCACCCCTCTATCATCCAGAAAAGCTATCTCACCACAAATTCACCATCAATAGCAACCTTCCCTAGAAATCGAGCAAACTGAACTTTCTCTGTCAACTGAGTTGCAGAATCAGGTTTAAATGGGTCACCAATCAAGGACACTATCTTCTCCAAATAGTTCTTACCCCAGTATTTTAATGGCAAATTAGGAAATTGAATCTAAACTAGAACCCTAGTTAACTCAACATCACTAAGTTCCATACCATCCTGCTATTGTTTCAGAAAAACAGGGCGATTATCAAACAACACATTAGCAGCATTCAGAGCTTATCCTTAGATTCAACATTCAAAAATCTTATAAGAGACACTCTTTTCTTAAGAGCAATTACCTTGTCAATGTTCTTTTCCCCCCACATGCGTTTGCAGAAACCCATAAATGATCCCAAAAAAGGATTAGCCCCAATAACATAAGCAACAATTCCAAGCTTCCAATATGCAATTTCATTAGAAACATCCTTAATTGACAATTGGAATAAAGGTTTATTAAGAACCCTAATCGAATTCGAAGAACGTACCTCAAAATCTAGACCCCTATTTTCATCGATCTCTGTTTCTGGGTTTACCACAGCAACCTCCTCCGATTTCATCACAGTTAGCCATTCTGATAGCTTCGACTTGGTTCTAGAGCCAATGAATGAGATCCCGGATCGATTGCTCTGGAATAAGAATCAAATTGTCCAAGTTATCCAAAATCCCAAAATTCGGAGGAGGAATACCCACCACCCCCAAATTCGATTTCTCCTTCTGCGTCAAGTTATCAACACTAGCTTCCTTCAAACCATCCTCAATCTGCGTTTGAAGATTGCCTCCCTCCCCTCTACTCAGCTCCTTCCTAGCTTTCTTCTTCGCCATGGTAGAAAAGAAATTTCTAGAGAAAGAAAGACTCAAGAGAGAGAAAGTCTTTACCAAAATGTATTGCTTTTATGTATAATTACTTTAGTATTAGTTATAACTAATAATAATATTTTAGGAAATTTTAACATCATTTTCTTTTACTTCATAGGAAATTTTGTAGTTAGTGAATTCAGTCATAAATGCTTCTAGGAAATTTTTTAATAAGAAGATGACAGTGGTAATGTTAACGGTAATTACTTTACTATTAGTTATAGACAATAATAATATTAACGGTTATTTCATGAAATGCCACTGAGCAATTGCGAAATTCACCAAATGCCATCCGACTTTTCAAAATTCACCAAATGCCACCGAGTTTTAACAAAATTCACCAAATGCCATTTTCGTTAGTTGATCGTCAATGTCCGTTAGTTGACCGTTAGTTGACCCCACCACTTGCCACGTGTCACTTTATGATTGGTCCGTTTTTTAAAAAAAAATATTTAAAAAAAATAACAAAAGTAAAAATTAAAAACTTTTAAAAATAGTAAAAAAAAATTACAAAAAAATTAAAAAAAAAGAGAAGAAATTAAGAGGTGGCAGCCACCACCTCCTCCCTGACTGCCCACCCCAAAACCCTAGCCATCACAACCCCTGCCGCCGGGGCTAGCACCGGAAGGCGCGCTGGCCTCTGGCGACCCCTCCCCTTCCCCTCCCCTACCCCGTCGCGACCCCCTAACCCGCAAAACCCCACCCCCCTTCCTACACCACCCCGAAACCCCAACCCCCTTCTTTTCCCTCTCCGATTTCCGGCACCCCAAAACCCATCCCCTTCCCCAACAACTTCGTGATTGGTGCGAGATTGGTGGAGGAGTTTGTGGCCATTGATGCGAATGGTGCGAGATTGGTGGAGGAGATCTCGGCGGCGGTTTTTGGGGTCGAGGCTGGCTTTGTGGGTGGTTTTGGGGTCGGCGGTTGATCAGGTGAGGTGCTAAAGGGCCGGCCGGCCGATTTTTGTTGGTTACGAAGGTGGCCGGCCGTTTTCCGGCAATATAAGGGGAGGGGTAGGGTTTCGGGGTGGTGGCTGGGGTGGTTCAATGGTTTCTGTTTTTTTTTCTTTTAATTTTTCAATTTTTTTTGGTTTTTTTTTATTTTTTTTATTTTTTTTTTAAAACAGACCAATCAGAAAGTGACATGTGGCAAGTGGTGGGGTCCACTAACGGTCAACTAACGGCTGTCAGTCATTAATGACACTCGGTGAATTTTGTTAAAACTCGGTGACATTTGGTTAATTTTGAAAAGTCTGATGGCATTTGGTGAATTTCGCAATTGATAAGTGCCATTTGGTGAAATAGCCGTAATATTAAAGATCAAACGCCATGTGGCCGATATAGAATACTGCTTGCCGCTCAACTGCCGAATCCCTCGACAATTCCGAAGTTTAGTTTTCATTTTTGGTGCGGTGCGACAACTCCAAAGCTCTCCTTAAACACAAAATTGCCACTCCTCTTAGTCCTCTGTTCTCACTCCTGCTCTCTGCTTCCTTCCTCATAATTCAACAATGTCAATTTCTCTTCAATTCATCTCCGTTTCTCCAGTTGCCAAACTCACATTCCTTTCCACAAACCCCTTTTTTCCTCAAAAATCCTCCAAACTCACATTACCCCTCTCTCTCCTCCCAAAAACATCCATCAAAGCCTCTTCCGAATTTCCACAGTCATCGAACTCTTCTTCTTCGGCGGTTACGGTTTCGAGTTTTGAGGTAGATACAGTTACAGAGGCGGAATTGAAAGAGAATGGATTCCGGAGCACGAGACGAACGAAGTTGGTGTGTACAATTGGACCGGCGACAAGCGGGTTTGACGAATTGGAGGCTCTTGCTGTTGGTGGGATGAATGTAGCCAGGATTAATATGTGTCATGGTACTCGAGAATGGCATAAGTGTTATTGAAAAGGTGAGAAAACTTAATGAGGAAAAGGGTTTTGCTGTTGCTATTATGATGGATACTGAAGGTAGTGAGATTCATATGGGTGATCTTGGTGGTGAATCTGCTGTTAAAGCTGAGCTTAGTGCTTATTTATTATTTTTTATGTGTAATTTAGTACTTATTTTCATTTATATTTATGTTACTTTGCTATGGTTAGCTTGAAAGTGTGGTGTTTAATGGTTGCTAAACTGCAGTTATTAATGACTGAGTTTATATTGTACGATTATAGATTTGGAATTTGGCAATGAATTGTGTAAAAAGTTGTGAATGTAGCTGTAATAGGATTAGAGACATTAGAGTATGGTGGTATGGCCAATGGATGACCAATATATTGTGTAAAAAACATTGTTAATCAAGGCCCTGGTTTGGTGTAAACTATTTTCATGGAAAATGATTTTCCCATTATTTCTCATTTTCATTTGTTTTGTTTGTGAAGGGTGGAAAATAATTTTCCCAATGGGTGGAAAATTGCATCTATTATGGCGGAGAACATTTTCCTTTCCAAAACAAGGAAACCACATTTTCCTCCCTTTTCCTTATCTCCTTTTTACTTTCCTCTCATCTATCCCCACATTTTAACTCCTACTTTTAATTTCTCTTTGAACTTTTCTTGTTAAAACCAAACAAAGGAAAACTATCTTGCAAGTGTGGTTTTCCTTGAAAATATGTTTTCCATAAAAACTAATTTTTCATTGAAAATGTTTGACATCAAACCAAACGGGGCCCAAGTGGAAAAGTTGTACTACATAGGGGTAAAATCGGGTAGGACCACTTACCCAATTTTACCCAAAGTATAACGACTTTGCCACTTGATAAACAAGCCTAATCAAGATGATAAATTGGGGCAGCCTCATGGGTAATGCACTCATTCTGAGACGAATATATCTCTTTCCTTGGGTAATTTTGTAATCTGTAGCATGAGTATAGTGCAGCTTCTGCTGTGACTTAGTGGAACGGGTGATGAGCTGTTTACAGCCCGGAAATAGCTTGTGCAATATCTTGAAAGGTTCTCTAAGAAGCTACAGGATCTTTTTAGTTCCAAATTTTTCAATTGAATTTTTTTTAGTAAAGCTATTCTAATTGCATTCCTATCTTAACACCAATAACAAGGTTTAATAATAACTATAAAATCTATGCAGATTGTATACACAAAATTCACCTATATATGTAGCCTTCTTTTTCTCTTTGGCTCATGACCCTCCTAGGTAGAAAGAGGTAAGCTTGGTTATCAGCTAATAATTATATTGATGGCCAGCACTGCGACTGAATAAGCAACTCTGTTGTTTCCTACCATTAGTCACAACTAGGCCTAAGCGCAGTCCAATGTTAGGTCTGATAGGTATTTAAGGGCTATATACTTGCTTCTGCTAAGCTTGTTGCAAAGCACCTCTTTTTCCTGACAATGATATGATATGAAAAGAAATTTAGGGGGATAGATTGATAGAAGAGCAGTTGTAATAAAATAGCACTTATATCCCTCTAAATTGCTAGAGAGTTGGGTGAGCTAAACTACAGTTGAAAGTCTATTAAAAGAACTGTCATGATATTCAATCAGATTTATCATTCATAAAGGGAAGTGAAGAGTTTATTTAATTTCTATTGACGAAATTGAGAATAAAAATTATTATAGCAGAAAATGGAAGAGGAGAACTATTTATAGTATAGTCATTACAGCTGAAAAATCTAGCTATTACAAACAACTTGCTACAACTATCTTCCTGATTTCATGAAATCTAAGAAAAGTTGTTATGACAATTATCTTCTCTGATATTTTGCTCTTGTTGTCTTGTTGGCATTGCTGTCATCAGTTTGAAGCTGTTCTTTCTTAATGAGGGTGTGCTGTAGTTTCATCAATTGTATATCATAATCATCATAATCCACCAAGACTTCATCATATGCATCATCCTGCAAATGATTATTCTGCTCATTACTTAACTGAGCATTGTGAGCAGAACTATTCTGATCAACATGATCTTCAATAAGAACAAAACCTCAATTTATTATTTTTGTTTAGGAGATACAACTTTCAGGATTTATAGGGTTGCAATCACTGTATGTAGTTGCTTCACAGAAGCTGCAGCTGCAGCAGCTAAGATCAGGACATAGATTAGCTGTGAAAGGTTTTATATGGTAATCACGTGCAGTGGTATTTTGGTATTGACTTGCTGACGGATTGGTGTGGATGAAAAAGTTTGAAGTTGGTTAACTAGGTAGGTGAAGATCGTACTTTTTTTTTTTTTTTTGAAGGAAATCGTACTTTATTTCTCTCTAATCGTGAATGCTAGATAGTAGCTTGTTTTGTGCACTCATTTAGATATAGGACATTATTCTATATAACAGTAAGTCTTGAAGTTTCAAAGCTTGATTTATAAATAAAGAAATACATCTCTGTAAAACTCAGGATCTTTATGTTATGCAAAGCATTTGTTAGATCTATTCTTAAGCTTCCCCAAATTTGTTTCTCTAATCCTCAAGAATAGAAAACTGGTGTGTGTGTGTGTGTTCTTAGAGTTTAGCGTGAATCTATCTTGTTTTCATTAGGGTTAAAAGTTGTCTCCTTAAGAGCTATTTTGTGAGAGAGCAGCTAATTAGTTCCAATCATTATGAGAAGCTATGTTGCTCAGACTGTCGTATCCGAGTAGGGATCGGATGATCCGACATTCGACTCCAAAAATTTAGCAGATATAGGTATACAATCAATCAATCATAAGATGTATTTGAGTAATTTTTCAGATATGAGTATGGCAAAGGTATAGATCACGTCGTCAAATGAAACACGTAAGTCAAACAAAAGTTTTTAATTTAAACTAAGGGTTTGTTCTTTTCACCTTATTTTCACTTATTTCAGGTCTAATAAGTTTTGATAAGGAAAAATAAGTTCTGATAAGGGTTGCTCAAGTTCAAATAACAACTAAAATAAGTTTTAATAAGTTCAAATAAGTTTAGGTAAGTTCAGATAAGATCAAATACGTTTATACTAGCAAAATTTAGGTGCATAGACCACACCCTAATCTAAAACAAGTCTAGGGAAAGTAGAGGGTTGTATCCAAAAGGATTAACTATTAAGGACACGAACATGCGAACCAACTATAAGCTAACTCGGTCATAAATTGGTTTTTTTTATTTTTTATTTTTTAATTTTTTTTTTATTGATTAACTACTTTACGGCTAAATCAAACTGATGAAGGTACTATTGGAGACAAACGCTAGGGGAAACGGGATTCAACACCTATTAAACCAATGAATCAATAAATTGGGCAAAACATGAACACAACATTGCCTTCTTTTGAAGTCACAACATTAGCGGTTTCTAAACCAAACTCAACTAACAAGGTAGGCCAACAATGTCTCAACGCTAGGAAGCAGAATACTAACTCGATTTTGTCTTTTGATTGTTTCGAGAATGCATAAAGCAAAAATAATTGAGATTTCTCACCTAATTATCGCAACTAAGGCAACCATGTCATTGAAACAGAGAACTGTTACCAAGATAGTAATTTAGTCTAATCATACAAGAGAAGACTCACCACTAAACCTTATCTTTCAATGCAAAAAAGTAGTCATCTATTTACACATGCAATTAACCAATTCTTGAACAATCAATCATAAACCCAAAGTGAACTTGGAATCACCCATAATTGACAATCCATAGCTTGGTTATCCAACCTTTAGCTAAAGGACTACTCACAAAACATAGTGGAGAACAACATTCTAACAACAAGTTCGAACTTTACCATTAATTTAATGAGAAAAGTGCTTCGAGGTGGATTGAACATACAACAATAATTGAGCAAGATTAAGAGTGAAATTAGGATTTCAAAGTGATTTAAAAAATAAAAAAGAAATGAGAGATAGGGATAGAGATTATTAAAAATGGAGCTTCAAAGTTGGAGAAATTTATGAAATTAAGAGCTCGAAGCCTTTGAATTGTCTTCTACAACGATTGAGTTTAGAGAAACTAAGCTAATTTCATGAAGTTTTAGCACTAATTAAGAGAGAAAGAATTAAGAAACTATTGCTAACTAAGAGGAAAGGGCCTTTGAAAGTTTAAGGGAAGAAGATCCGTACAAATGAAGCCAAGGGAGGTATTTATACTCCCAAAAAGTACATAGAAAAATCCGTCAAAATCGCGCTGGTAGGAAAGGAGCAGGCCGCTCCTGCATGTAGGGGCGCTCACTCCTGGGCTAGGAGCGCTCGCTCCAAATAAATGTGCACTCCCGCTCTTTTGTGTTCAGGGGGAGGGGGAGGCAGAGACAGATTGTAAGGGACAAGGGAGGAGTGCTGCTCCAGCATGTAGATTAACTACAGATTCTGCTAGGCAGGAGCGCTTGCTCTTGGGTTTGCTGGGTGTTTCTTTGAAATGCTCGTATGCCTTACTAAATCCTCAATTCATCTTTTGCACCTACAAACACGAACACGCACGCACAAAAGACGGAAACACCAAATAGACTTTAAAAGTACGAAAATGGGTTAGAGAGGGAAAAAATAGGAGAAAGTACTTCAAAAACGGGTTGAAAACTTCACATAAAGTGGATAAAATATTCCACTTATCAGAGTTGCATTTGTCTTCCTCGTAAACTAACCACATTTCATGTGTATGGAAACTACAGTTTCTCTAAATGGCATTGTACCCATCAAAGCTATTTCTAGCTTTCTTTTATGGAGAATTCCTGTAAAATAATCATCTCCTGTCAACAGTTTTTGATTCTTTGCTTACTTGGAGAAGTCCCTTTTGTAGGCCTAATTATTTAAACAACTCATAGGATTTTTCATATAAAAATGAATTAGATAGTGGATCTGACACCTTAATCTCACGATCATATCGACTTGACTTAGTGTTCTCTGTAAACCAGACTTATCAGAGTGAGGAAACAAGCTGCTCCCCTTGCCTGAGCAAATTGTTTTCATTTTGGAACCATACCTTGTGTGTCCACTTTCCTAGACTTTATTAAATTGATATTTCATACATGTAGTGTTCTGGCTTTATGCAGATGTAGAAGACATCAGCTGTTCAGTTTCTTCTTCATGATTATGGTTTTCATTATTGGTAGAAATGAGATTATTTCATGTTGCTATATAATTTTCAAATCAAGAGGCAAAAGGATTATTTCTTTCGTACCTGAGCACTTAGATTTTATGAATTATTGCAAAAGTTTTGTCATTATATAATTATCGCATAATGTTTGCTGTCATATTTCATCTCTGCACTTTGTTCAGGATGGAGAGATCTGGACTTTTACTGTCCGAGATTATGATGCCCCTCGTCCCCAACGTACCATTACAGTGAATTATGATGGCTTTGCTGAGGGTAATAATCCTAAACATGTGTGTTGCTTGCTAAGATATAGTGATATATTTTTGCTTTTAGATCATATGTTGTAACATATTGATTCCATATTACGGAGAGCTGCTGTTAGCATCTCGTGAACATTTTACTATCTAGTCAACTAGAATTCCTATTTTCAATTGTGATGTTGTTTTCCTTTTCCTTTACCTTTGGTGTAAAGTATGACACACGGTATATTTACACTAGCTCTAATGCAAAGAGTATGCTTATATAAATTGGTAGGCGGTTTAGAAGTTAGTTGACTTATATTTCATTGGATACAGATATGAGGGTTGGGGATGAGGTTGTTATAGATGGTGGAATGGTAAGGTTCGAGGTTATTGAGAAGATCGGTCCCGATGTGAAGTGTTTATGTACAGACTCGGGATTATTGCTCCCACGAGCTAACCTGACGTTTTGGCGGGAGGGTAAAGTAGTCCGTGAACGTAATGCCATGCTTCCAACAATTTCTTCCAAGGTTAGTGGCTTCGTTCATCAATTCATTTTTTTCTATTGCGGAATCATTTTTATTTTTATCATTTGTGTGATTGGTTTCCTGTAATAATCATTGAATGCAAGATGTTTTAGTAATGATTCAACTTATAGTGAGGGCATATTCAGTACTAGCATGGTTTTAACTTTTAACTATAGGTTTTTATGGTGAAACTAGAATACGAAGTTGGGGGATGGAGAATTTTTATTAAGTCCAAAACTTCATTCATATTTGCATTGAGTTAGGGTCGGTTGCATCAGGTTGCTATATGTGTCAACATTATAATGGCCCTAATCTAACATGTAAGTTGATAAGTGTCGAAAACGTAACCCGGTTTAGCTTAGGTCCCTTTATCCACAAATAAAATTTCCAATATACTTAGAATACAGGATTAGAAGTAAATAGTATAACAATACAGGATTTTTGGTTATTTTGAAATATAAAATAAATAAAACATGATTGCGAAAAAAAAACCAAACAAAGGGTTAATGGAGACTCGACATCTCATGGCTAATGAGGAGATATAGAGATAGAGATTTTCAATACATGGGCTTACATCACTTGGGATAAGTTTGATAAAGTTAGCAATCAAGTAAATAGAAGAAAACTATACTGGTCAAATCAAATGGAAAAATTTATAAAAGGTACACATCTATGTTCAATAGACTCGAGTTTGGGTGTCGTATCTAAGTAGAGATTGGAGTATCCGATCCTTCAATTCCAAAAATAGCAAATACGGTTATACGGTCAAAAGAGCGTCTTAGACTAATTTTTGGATACTGCTAGTATATAAAGTATCGGGAAATTTTTTAGATACTTGGTTAATAAAATTCTAATATTAAAAAAATGACATGAAAAAAAATCAAAGTCAAACAATCTAATGTTTTAATTTTACCTTCCTCCAATTGAAAAAGGGAAAAAGAGGTGTGGTGTCACGTGAAACAAAAAATAAAAGGGAAATTCTCTTTGGTAACATTCAATTTTTCATTTTTCTCTTTGGTAAATTGTAAAATTCTTATTATCATTGGTAACATTGTATTTTTTGTTACCAAAGATAATAACTATTTTTAATAAAAATCTTTAACTATGGTTAATTATTTATTTTTTTAATAATAAAATAATATATTTTTGTAAAAAACCAACCCCCTCCCCCACCCACCAGCCACCACCTGATCCCCCCTCCCCTGGCCGGCGGCGACCTCCCAACCCTGCCGGTGACCCCCACCCCGATTCCCCATTTCTCCTCCCACTCCCCCACCCCGATTCTCACACATCAAGAAACTAATTACCTGTGATGAGATAGCAGAAGCAAGCAGCAACCCAATGATTAAAATGATTAAAATAGACAGAATAGTAAATAGGAAAGTAAACATTCTAGGGTTTTATCAACAACCCATTTTCCTCAGATCTACAAAAAGAAATGGGAAATTGGGGGAAATTGAATTTTTCATTTTTCCCTTTGGTAAATTGTAAAATTCTTATTATCATTGGTAACATTGTATTTTTTTTTACCAAAGATAATAACTATTTTTAATAAAAATCTTTAATCATGGTTAATTATTTATTTTTTTAATAATAAAATAATATTTTATTAAAAAAAACCAACTCCCTCCCGCACCCACCAGCCACCACCTGATCCCCCCTCCCCTGGCCGGCGGCGACCTCCCACCCCTGCCGGTGACCCCTACCCCGATTCCCCATTTCTCCTCCCACTCCCCCACCCCGATTCTCACACATCAAGAAACTGATTACCTGTGATGAGATAGCAGAAGCAAGCAGCAACCCAATGATTATAATGATTAAAATAGACCAAATAGTAAATAGGAAAGTAAACATTCTAGGGTTTTATCAGCAACCCATTTTCCCCAAATCTACAAAAAGAAATGGGAAATTGGGGGAAATTGAAAATGCTTAGAAATCAGATCTTCTAGAATCTTTGTTGAAATGTGAAATTAAAAGGAATATCCCTGAAATCGAAGGATTAAAAGGGGAAAAAATCGGAGAATTGGGGTTTGATGTTGCCTAATCGGGCTCTTTGGTACGGCGTTTAGGGTTAGGGGGCGGTAATTCGAGGAGGGTGACGGGAAGCTGGGGTCGCGATTAGGGCAGGGGCTGGGTGTTGGCTGGGGGAAGGGAGTGGGGGTGGGGTCGCCGACCGGTGATAAAGTTGGATGCCGGCACAGGGATGGGGGTCGGGCGCTGATGCCGGCACTGTTGGGGAGGGAGGTGGCTGGTGGGGCTGGGGTGGGGGTTGGGGTGGGTTTTTTTTTTAAATAAAAATAAAATTATAAAGTAAAATTTAAATTCTGTAAATATTTTTTTTAATTGTTAAAAAATTAAAAATTCCTAACTATAAATAAAGATTTAATAAAAAATCATCATTAGTATCGTATGTAACTTAATATCAATTATACAATATTACCAAAGATAATAGATTTTTTTTACAATTTACCAATAAGAAAAATAAAAAATTCGATGTTACCAAAGAGAGTTTCCCAAAATAAAAGGGAAATGGGTGCTTAATAGCCGGTGGGGTTAGATTGACTTCAAATAAAAGTGACTTCCAGCTGTCACACACCATACCCAAGTACCCAACTACAGTACCCCATTTATGAAAAAATAAAGTACTCTGCCCATCTTAAAGCCATCGCTGAAAAATAGCTTAAAGTTTGGGCTTTTTTTTTTTGGATCTCTGCTAGTAGTAACATTTGATGTGGGCGCGTTTGGTTCAAAACGGTCGTAATGGCCGAAAAAGTGCTTAAAATTTTTTGTTTTTTCTTTTATACACATCTACTAAAGGATCTTGACACTCACTCCGGGACACTTCTACGATACGCGAGTCGACGCCTCAACCCACGTGTGTCGAGTCGACTCGCGATACTCTTGGTGCCGGAGAGTGTCGGGGTAGGTACACTTAGATAAAATTAAGTATTAGACTTAACATTGTTGAAGTACTTTAGGTACGAAGGATGGGTTTAGAATGGGTAAAACCCACACCTAGTGTTTTTGCCAAAAAAAAAAAAAAAAAAAAAAAAAAAAAAAAAAAAAAAAGAAGCACAATTTCCAAACCTATACCTCAAACCCTCAAGGTATGGCACTTAGAAAACCAAGGGGAGGTGGGTATGGCTCATACCATACCTTTAGGTATCACATAAAAGAAATTTGTTCATTCCTGTACTAAACCAAACACATGAATTAAGTATCAAGTTTCAATCCCATACCACCCTTATTTCCTGATTCCAAACTTATACTACTCATCAAACCAAATGTCGCTTCCCCTGAAAGCTTTTTCACAATAACTGTTCTCCCTCTCCTTTAGAACAAGATTAGTGATTAGTCTTTAAGACATAGATTTTTGCTAACATGAAGTGACATGGCATATGTAATACCAAGTTCTATGACGTAACAAAATAATTTATAGCGTTGTGGATTGGTCTTGGTATATTCTTAAATAGTCTTGAAAAATCAACTCAAAAGAGTGAAATAGAATTATTGGAACAAAAACAAATAATAAAAAATGTAAGAAATCTTAAATGAATATGAAGGATGAAGAGATAGATTTGGTTGAATTTGAAATAGTCTTAAATTGTTATAGAAATATGTTATGGGAAATCTGACGTGGCATAGGAAGAAAGTTTTAAAACAATGCTGCACTAATCTTGCTCTTATCCAAAGACTCTCTTCTAACCTGATAAATACTCTCTTCCCCGTCACCCCAACCATTCATGTCTATCATCTCCTTCCCTCACCTTTATCCAACCCAAAAGTGCCTCAATCACATGGATACTTCCATGGCCAACCACCACATGCTACCCTCCCCCCCTTACCCCCCCTTCCTAGGTAAATAAAGGTTTTAATGGCATTGAAGCTTGAAGTGCATGTGCCCCTTGATTTGAAGAAATGAAAAAGATTCATTGTTGTGGATTACCCCATGTAATATATATTAGTTCATGTAGCTAAAACCTTTTCTGTTGGGGTATGCAGCTGTACCTGGATCCCCATTCCCCATTCCCCTCCCCCCCACCCCCCTCCCCCCCCCCCCCCCCCCAAAAAAAAAAAAAAAAAAAAAAAAAAAAAACTGCTGAGCAAAGAAACCGGTCTCTTCGGTACTACCATAGTAAATTAGTAACAATCTAGCGTGCCTGTACAATTAATATTGAAAGAGACTGGTTTCTATATATAACCAGTCCCTTAGGTGCTGCCATAGTAAACTAGTATGTTGTAGACTAGGATATCAAAAGGTTTTGTTGTATTAATTTTGTAACAATTTTGAGGGAAAGCTTAAGGCTATAACTCTCCAACTTAGTAGCTTGAGGCTACAAGTCTCCAAAATAAGTCTTCACAAATTCTCTCATTATGATCCCAAAAGTTCTACTGATTTTTTATATATACAAGCCAAAATTCAAAAGCAAAAACCTAATATTAATGAGTTTTGTCTTCTACTGACTTTAGCAGATCAGAATATCAGCCTTTAGTTGCCACTTCCCATATTGCTTTTTTTTTTTATGGCATTTGTCTCCTTGCGCTGCTGTAGCCTGTGATTGGTGATTCTTGTCTCTCTTGTGTCTCCTCTCATAAACCCTTAACAATGGTGTAATAGAGGTGGCAGCTGGGTCTATCACATAGTACTACAATCTAGCGTGCTGTACAATTTAAAATTGAAATGCACTGGTTGACATAGATAACTGGTCTCTTAGCGTGCTGTACAATTTTTTTTTTTTGGATTTTCTTCTAATGAAATGCTATATGCTCTCTGATGTTATAAAATTTTCTTTTGTACTTTGTAAATTTTTTCCCACAAAACTTATGTTGTTTTTATAAAGTGTAATACATTAGTTAATGAAAATTGTAAACAAGATGAACAAAATAATCTCACAAACACAAATAGGAAATTCGTTGTGGCGTGAAATTAATCACTGACTTGAAAACGAATTTCAGCGCAACCGAGGTGCTCAATTGTATTCGCCGGCACGTTCCCTAAGGTCCACACACCACTCCCACACAAAGGCACTTTTGAGTAGGAGGTTGGAGACGAGTAAACTTATGCCCAAAAGATTTAGTGTTTAGCTTATATGAAAGACGAAGAGATTAATCAGACATTAAGAGAATTAACCCACCCTTAAACAACCCATTAAGAAAGGAGTTAAGTGGAGGTTACAAAGGAATCCCAAGAAAAGAATTAGAACACCAAAATAATGAATCTAGACAAGGAAAAAGTCTACTGCTTAGCCCACCCGTGGGCAAATGAGGTCGGCCACAAGGGCCCACAACCTACCCGTAGAGCAAACTGATCAATTTCATCTTTTACTCTCTTTACTCCAACAATCTTCCCACTAAAGGGAGGTAAAGCATACGCACAAAAGAAAGAAAAATAAGAGACAATATTTTTGGGCATAAGAGGAGATTAGTACATAACACTTAGGTATTACTTAAGTAATTTGAAATCTAGTGCTTAGTGAAATGAGGCAATGAACTACAAGTACAAGGGTGGACAAACCTTGAAACCCTTAAACTCTTTATCAAGGAGGAGACTAACCTTGAAACTCCAAGATTTAGCTTAAGACCCCCACAACATATACATCACTCCAAAAATTACATGAACTCCGGCGATAAGATGTACTTTTTTAGCCAAATACATCCACCTTATGTCTAGTGGAGGCTCTACAAAACCGGACAAGTTTTCATAAAAGATGGCTAATATTCACAACCACATAGGTGAGTCCTAAAATGCATCTCAATAGCAAAAAGGATTCATTGAGAGTAACAGCTCAACCTCACAAAATATACTTACAAACATTACAAACTCTATCACCATAGGAATTAGGACAAATGTAATGTATCACATGGCCTTAAGTCCAATTCCCCTCGATGATTCTTCAACACTTGCTAACTCTTTCGTCAAAGGATCCGCCAAGTTCTTTTCGTACCTCACAAAGTCCAATGCAATCACTCCATTCTTTAGCAATTGTCTCACCACTTTGTGTCTCATACGAATATGCTTCTTTTTGCCGTTGTAGTTGCTATTATTAGCTACTCCAATCGCCGCTTAAGAGTCACAATGCATAGACACCGGTGATGAAGTTTTCTTCCACAACAGTATGCCGGCTAGGAGATTCCTTAGCCACTCCGCTTCTTAACCTGCCAACTCAAGAGCAATGACTTAAGATTCCATTATGGAGTGAGCTAAACATGGTTGTATTAAAAACTTCCATGAAATAGCATCTCCACCTAAAACAAAAACATACCCACTAGTGGAAGAAACCTCATCATTATCGGTTACCCAATTAGCATCACAATAGCCTTCTAAAACATTAGGAAAGCGATTAAAATGCAAATATACCTCCATAGTTTCCTTAAGGTACCTTAGCAACCGAGGAAGAGCAACCCAATGATCTTCTTGCTCTTCACATGGATTGTGAGTATATCTACTAAGTCTACTTGCCGCATAGGCAATGTTGGGTCGTGTGCAATTGATCAAAAACATTACACTACCAATCACCTTTGCATGGAGCTCTTGAGATACACTAGGACCCTTGTTCTTCACTAGCTTCATGTTAGGGATCATAAGGTGTTTTACTAGGCACAACATCAAAAGAGTCAAACTTCCTAAGAATTTTGTCCACATTGTGAGATTGACCTAATAAAGACAACATAATTAAAAGCAATAAATAGAAATATAAATACCTCAATGAATTAAAATAAATAAACCCAAGAATCATCCATGGAAAAATCTATGGAGATGTCATGAGAAACTAGGGTTCAAGAGAAAACTACTGTGAACTTAAAAACATCATAAAAGGCATAAGGGAAAAAAAGTATCCCTTGTGACCTATTGATGGAAAGCTCTTCAAAGTCTAGTTTCCAACGCAATTTGTCCGATTTGTAGAATTCAAGTTATGATCAAAAGAGTGAGCAAAGGTCATTTTTGATACTTTTTAAACCATTGTTATTCTCCGTTTCCAACTCCAATTATCTCCGAAAGGTGCATAGCGACTCTCGTGGAAGCTATTTTCATTCTTCATGCATATTAATCTCTATCTTAGCTTCCACAAACACATATCTTTCATTGAATGACTTTGATTCATCGACGTTTCATCCTTATATTGCCGGATTCTTCTAAAACTACTCCGAAAGCGTTCAAATAGTTATGAACACTACCTGAAACATTAAGAAAACACAAACAAAGAGTAATAGAGCACTAAATGGACAACTTATACATTTGCGACCTAAAAAGCAACTAAAAGACTTAAAGAGCAACTATAAAGTAGCATGAACGTGCCCATAAATGTTATATAAATGTGATTCATCAATCTTCAGAAAGAAAATTGGGGATACATTTCACCTTGGAAGGCTTGGATAAATGTAGTGATATGACTAATATCTATTTCCTACCATTAAAAAGTTAAGGTGGTTCATTTTTAATGAATAAGAGTTAAGGGGAATATATAGTTCTGCCCCATGTGAATATGATGTTAATTTTTTTTTCTTTAAATTTAGAAGGTTCACTTAAATCCGAGTAGCTGACTCTGGTGGCCATTTTCAGGATTGGTTGGACATTGATTTTGGAATTGCGGAGGGAGTTGATTTTATTGCAATATCGTTTGTTAAGTCTGCTGAAGTAATTAATCACTTGAAAAGCTATATTGCAGCTCGTTCTCGAGAAAGGTGGGCATTATACATTTATTGGCTTCTGTCTGGGATTTTATCTTGTTTATTTGAGTCTTGTTTATCTTTATTTCAATCTCTATCATAGTTGGGGATATTTTTCAAATATTTCTGCAACCAATTTAATTCATAATACAAATCAAAATAGGGAGAGGTTTGTAGAACCCAATTACAAAATCCCCCATGGTTTTCAGATTTCAGTTTGGAAAATACTCTACAGAGGATCCCTGGTCAATATTCTATATTCCTTTGCTTATTACTAGATGGCAACGATTTTGCAAATAAAAAGGGAATTACTACCTTTACTCCTTTTTCCAAAAGCAGGTGATAAGCAAAAATCTATGAAATATGATTCTGTAGTTAAGTCTACTGCTTATGTTACCTTTTCTTAGATGAGTTAGATCTGTTGCGTATGTATTTTACTTTTTAAATTATCTCAGATTGGCTTGTATCGTACTCTACCCCTGAAGTAACCTTGTGAAAATCTTGGATTCATTCTTTAGTTACTTTTAACTTGCTTATTTCTTTTTTCCTCAACCTCTACATAGATAGTGTTACTGTACGATGCTGTAGCTTTTTTTTGTAAGTTTTCTGGGTATACATTGGAGATTATCAGTCTGTAATCCAGAGTCTTAAGGAAAGTTTTTTCATAATTTCATGTATATAATTGTTAGATCACTAACTATTGCCCATCTGAAGCTTTTGTTCTTTGGTTGAAGTCATGAATGCAACATCTCCACTTCTCTTTGCTTCGAGCAATTGGCTTTCTACAAATATTTTCTGTTGCAAGTCAGAGTTTAACTTGCGGTTGTGGTTAACATAATTGTGCACAGTGAATGTACACTGGTTTTGTAATTAGTTATTGACTTGTGATTGACACAGATTTGATTTGTATATCTGTCGTATGGCATGTATGGGTCATTTATTGGACATACGATCTGACAACTCTTCATTCCAAGCAATAAGAACTATCTAATTTCGTACTTATTTGATGTTTGTAATGCAGTGATATTGCTCTCATTGCAAAGATAGAAAGCATTGATTCACTAAAGAATTTAGAAGAGATCATTCAAGCATCAGATGGAGCTATGGTTGCGAGGGGAGATCTTGGTGCACAGATACCACTGGAGCAAGTTCCCTTGGTCCAAAAAAAAATAGTTCGACTGTGCAGAAATTTAAATAAGCCGGTTATAGTTGCTTCTCGGCTATTAGAGTCGATGATTGAGTACCCTACACCTACCAGAGCCGAAGTAGCTGATGTTTCAGAAGCTGTCAGACAAAGAGCTGATGCTTTAATGCTTTCAGGTGAGTCAGCCATGGGCCAGTACCCAGAGAAAGCATTAGCTGTTTTGAGAAGTGTTAGCCTGAGGATTGAAAAATGGTGGAGGGAAGAGAAAAGCTATGAAGTCATGGAGCTGAATGGAGTAGCATCTTCCTTCTACGATTGCATATCAGAAGAAATTTGTGACATTGCTACAAAAATGGGTAAGGATAATTTGAAATTTTACCCATATATTATTATTGTTATTATTATTATTATTATTGTTCTGTAATCTTCTTCATATGCCTATATGATATATCTGAAGCAACCTAAATTTCTTGCTTGTGTTAGCTTATTGAATTATGTTTCCGTCACATAAATGGACACTAAAAATAGATTTTTGTAACCGGAAAAGAACAAGTTCAACATCAGAGGGCTTTTAGGTCTGGTTTTATAACATGCGAGTATAGTAAGGACATGTGAATATAATGAGGCTGGTTTTATAACGTGCACCAGTGTATCGGTGCATAAAACGCAAGCCATATTTTCTACTAGTGTATCGTTGCAAATAATATGAAACGGGGGTGGTATATATATATATATATATATATATATATATATGTATATATATATATATATATATATATATATATATATATATATATATATATATATATATATATGTATTGAGATTATGTGAGAACAAAGGTGAATAATGAGAACTAGGAACCAATCTCAGTCTCTAATCGCGCTACATTTAACGGTTCACGTTTCACCTGCATTCATTAATGGCATTTTGGTAATTTCGCAGCTTTTCAATCTTTTTCCAATTTTTTTAACTTTTAAAGCAATTTCATTTACTTTTACTAATTTTTCATTTACTTTTTAGAAATGAAACTGGAAATTTTTTTATAAAGTTGAAATATTACAAAAATGTCATTAATGACACGGGAAACATGTGGATCGTCCGATTAACATGATCTAAGGACCTAGATTAGTTCATAGTTCTTATTATAGCTTTGGTTCATATATATATATATATATATGTATCAGTAAAATAAAAACGAAAACTGAATTCAAATTTTAAATTTTTTTTTTAATTCTATATTTATTATTTTTATTCTAAACCCCATATAACCTATTTTAATACAACTTTTGACAATGAACAAATTATAAACTCCCTATCCTTTTCAATTGATGAAACCCTTGTCTTTATCCTCTTCAATCAAAACTCAATATTTGCAGAACCTAAACAATTATTTCTTCCATTTTTTTAGGAAATTTTGTATTTTACCAATGAACGCGGAGAAATTAGGTCGTTATCTAACCTCCTAACGGTCTAATAAATTTATAAATCCTAAAACTAGCCCCTAAACAAGTCTAGTGGTAAGTTCGGAGTCGAACCACAAGGAATGATAATGCTAGATAGTTCTTGATCTAATGCTTAAGCTACGCCGAAGTCGGTTTATGGTTAGAGGACACTACAACTACACTAAAACACATATAAAGAACAAGGTATGATAAAGTTTATTAGAGGAAAAGATACACTTTGAACAATTAATAAGCTAATGAGAATCCATTTGATAATCAATCATGCAAAGAAAGAATTAAAATGGGAATTAACTACACTCAAAAGTAATCTCTCAAATTCCTAGCCTAGATCCCTCATTGACTAGGTGCATAGAAGAAATTTACCCAAAATGCAATCAAATATATCAATTCTAATTCACAATCCCTTGTCAAACTAGAACCAATATGCAATTAAGTTTGCTATCATGAGAGATCAATCCAATCTAAAACAAATAACATGCTATCATCAATTCAATCAATTTAATCACTCAATTATCAACAAATTTATCTCAAATAACTCAATTAATCATTACAAAGCTTCACTCAACACCTAGTAGAAGGGAAACTACTCAAACATGATGAAAGCAATTAAATAAAGCATAAAGAGAATAAAGAGTAAGAAATGCTCATTGATATAAAATGGAGATCTTCAAATCATCAAATTCCTCCTTTGATTATCCAAAATCCATGAAAACCATCGTGTTTCTCACTTTCTCTCTCCAAAATTTGAGAGTTTCTCTCTCTAAAAACCTATAACTATCCTAAAAAACTACTGAAAAATTGAATTCTTCTCTAAAATGAGCAAAAAAATCTACTTATACCCCTTACGAAAATGCCTAGGAAGCTCCGCAAAAAGTCGAGTAGCACGTATAGGAGCGGGCGCTCCAAAGTAATTGCATGAGCGCTCCTAGCTGCAACAGTGAGAAGCGGAATCATTCCACAAAGTTTGGGGCGGGAGCTCCTCTCAGACTGCGCGCCCGCTCCTTCGCGCTGGATAAAACTGCTCAGCTTCAAACGAACATAACTCCCTCGTTTTACATTGGAATTGAGCATATGACCTGTTGTTGGAAAGCTCTTGAGATAAGATTTTATCTCCAATTGGAATCACTTAGAAATGTTTTGTAGATCAAAAGATTTAGGCGTTTGAAGTTCGATCTTTGCAAATCAAGTGCACATTTCTTCATTACTTGTTCTTTTATGTTTTATATTTCTTCAATCTTGAGCAATGAACTTATCCAAGTGTTCCTAAACATAAGAATAAACCAATAAAGTTTTATCTAATGCAAGAAGCAACCAAAAATATGCAAGAAAAGCCAAAATTGATCAACAATGACATTTCACATGCGAAAATGACAAATGAAATAAAACCTTATATAAACCAAGTAAAAAGATATCAAAACAATGACAAACTAACTAGAAACTCTTAAAAAACAGTGACATAAATGACACATATTAACCACCCACAAATAACTCAATTTTTGAAATTACCACCCAAATTTTATTTTTTTTCACATACCACCCAAAATAGACAAAAAATTAGCTTTCACCACCAAAACAATTAAATTTAACGTTTTAAAAAAATTTCTTCGATTCTTCGTGCTAAAAACATGCTCTTAGAGGTTTTAGGGGTTTTTTTTGTCCAAAGGATCCGATTTGAGGTCAATATTGACAAATAGTTATAAAAAATGCCTCATTTTGCATGTGCCGCGCAAACGAGGTATTTTTAGTACGCAAAACAATGCCTTTCCAATTTTTTGTAAATTTTGATTTCAAATCGGACCTAAAGTACAAAAAATTACCCCCAAAACATCTAAAGAGCAGGTTTTTTGTACGAAAATCTATGATTTTTTTTTTTAAATATTAGATTTTATGGTTTTTTTTAACAGAAAGTTTTAAATGGTGGTGAAATCTAATTTTTGCCTTTTTTGGGTGGTATTTTAAAATAAAAAAAATTTGGGTGGTAATTTCAAAAAGTGGGTTTTTTGTGGGTGGTAAAATACAAAGTATCCTTTTTTATTTGCAACATTTCTACAACGTACACTATTCACATACGCCACTTTATTTACATTTTGTGATTTACACTTAGATAAAAACGTAGGTAAATGGGATCTTGTTGGATCCATTTTTTAAATGTACTTTATTAAATTTAATTTTTATAGTTTTTGCTAATGCATAATTAAATATGTTCACAATTAAAGTTATGCATTCACAAACATGAAAAACAGAAATGTTATAAGAAAAAAAAAGTATGAATTATAGTAGGTAAAAGATAAATTTAACTATACCAGTTTAATGCAAAGTGTTTAGCTTAGTGACTTTTTAACTATATTTTACCTAGTTTTGTAAATAATTTTATACAGTAGCTATTTTGGTAAAAAGTTTTGAAAAAATAGCCATCATGGTAAAAGACTCAAAGATTGTATTTCCTTTATCCCTTCATGTCCATCTTCAACCTCCTTTTCTCTTCCTTGGGTACTCTAAATTTGTAGAGAATCTAGTAGTCCAATTATTTAGTCAAGTCCAAAAACAATTTTTTTTTCTCTTTCCTTATCATTAATTGTTACTACCTCCATGTTTATAAGTTGTTTCCATTTTTCTTATCACACAATTATCATTGCACATTTGGAACATCAATTTCTTTGAAAATATTTTATAAAAACTTTATGAAAAATGTTGGATATCTCAAAACTACAAATCCATAAAAGACCTAAAAGTTAAACAAGATCTCACACAAACATGATTTCTTATACTTTATCGATATAGTATTAAATTTGATTTTACATGATAAAGATTCTTATATAAGTAGTCCTCACAATCCTCACATGAATGCAAAATATAAATTCTAACCTAACCTTCTAACTTTCAAAAAACAATCGTATGAACTAATTTTGCCTTTCATTTCATCGACTAAGCAAGCATAAAAATCAAGTTAATAAACTATTTCTAAAAGCTAACCTTTTAATAAACTATATTTGACTATCTTAACACTAAAACAAGAAACAAAAAAAATTCCTTTAATCTTTTCCCTTTTCGTTCTATTTTTTTAATATATTTATTCCTAATACAATAAATATATTTAATGATGCTCTATTAATATTACCCTATAATTTAATGTCCGTTTACATTATACACTGAATAACTCTTCATTTTTCTAATAAAAAATATTTAACAGAAAAATTCCAGGCTTTACATTTAACAAAGTGTGTGTTGCACGGGCCAAAAGGCTACTCAATAACTTTATACAAAAAGCGAAACTTATAGTGACACACGTCATCTCTAGGTTGAAAATTTTCCCTCCATTTAATTATTTCCTTTTTCTGCTACATCTTCATTAATTTGTTTGTAACTTAAAATATTGTCCTTTCATTTTGAAAATTACATTAATTACATTTCCAAATACACTTAAATATAATAATTTGATATATTTGAGTAGTATATTTTAAAATTAATTTTTTTTTTTTTTTTTTTGTAAATTATTATTCTTGAATTAACATCAGCAAAAATCGTGCGTTGCATGGGATTTTTTAAACTTGTTGGATGATTAAGAAGCAATAGTCTATCACCTTATCAACATCACTCCCTAACCTCAATTAGTGAAATGGCTTCCCATGGGTAACCCTTACCCGCTGAAGGCCATACTGTATAATGGACATCATGCATAATTATAACTATCCCTAACTACCTAGTGAGGAGGCAGTAAGAGGCTTAGGGAATTTACTACTCCTAATTGAATCTAACTTTCGCTAATAACTTAACAAATTGTAATAGGATGAGAAACCAAAGCCCCCATACCCTCCTTGAACCTCTTTCGACTACTATTTAAGGGGACTAGGTATGAAATTTTTATGTTAGCATCCTAGTAGTCCCACTATTCTACAACAAGCACCATTAATTACTACTTACAAGGAATGAAGGGTAATTCAGTTCTAACCCAGCCATGAACTATGACTAGGTTCACCAACCCCTAAACATGAAAATGAACAAGAGTAAACAACATAAAACAAGTCTAGAGAAATTAAATCAAGAAAATTCATATAGATTAACAATAAATACCATTTTTGTAGTGTTTTGCGTTTGCAGGGGTAAAAACAGGTGATCAATTGCCTCCATGATCTTGTCAGTCTCAGTTATTCTTACTCTGTTCCGACAATTTCTGTACTTTAATTGCAGCTATTATTGTCATTATTGAATAGTGGTGCCTGTTTTAAAATTGGGCAGATCATCTTATTGAGACTTGACTTCATAGATCTTATTGACTTCATTGAACAACATTACAGAATTGTAGGCCTGAATACATTCACTGTAGTTAGATAATTAGAGTTTCTGAAAGATCCATTAATGAACCATAGGAAATCAGGTCTGAAATAAAGCTAGACTAACTATTGGGGATATGTTGTCATGGGAAGTGTAACCTTCCTTGACTTAGTTTAAGGGTTTCTTCTTCACTGATTATTGCTTATCTTATATGGTTAACTTCTATGTTTATCGTGTGCTCCTTATGCTGCTGATTGATTGTTTTTGGTATTTTATGTAAATATAATTTTTCTTTTTAGGCAATGTCATTAAAGTAGTATGTAAAACTGATTGATTTATACTTTTTCTGCAGCCAACAATTTAGAAGTAGATGCTATTTTCGTATACACAAAAACCGGCCATATGGCATCTCTATTGTCAAGATGCCGACCTGACTGCCCAATCTTCGCATTCACCACGATAACATCAATAAGACGCCGGCTGAACCTTCAGTGGGGTCTGATACCGTTCCGCTTGAGCTTCTCTGATGATATGGAGAGCAACTTAAGTAAAACGTTTTCTTTGCTGAAGGCCAGGGGAATGATAAAACCAGGCGACCTTGTTATTGCAGTGTCCGATATATTGCAGTCCGTCCAAGTCATGAATGTCCCATAAACAGTGGGTTTAAATTTTTATTAATTATTTTTAAGGTCCGAATGAGCTATAATGGCAATAAAAATTACAAATGGGGTACGGAATATGAAGCTTTGACCTATTGTACACAAAACCTTCACTCTGAACTATTAGGCCAAGAACTCATTGTTTGTATTGATTGTACCTTTACAAAACATGTTCCATACTTTCATGGATTTGTAGAGGGTGTTTAACAAAGTGCCTCTTACAATGGTTGTTCCTTGAATGGTATGGAGTAGTTATTATATCCATAATATTTGGCCATATTCCAACGATATATCTTCGTCAAAGAAATGTCAATTTGGAGGTTTTGCGGTTCAGCGGTTGCAGGGGTAAAAACAAATACAAACATGCATAGACCAAAAGTCTAGAATACTAGAAGCAAGCAACTAAGCAAGGACTAATACTTTATACTTTCTTCGTTTTTTTTTATTAACACATTTTTTTTTAAATCACGTTTGCTAATGCACAATTTTAATAATTAATGAATAAGTGAAAAATTATTAAAAAAAAATATAAAAAAAATTTGACGTTAGTTTCAAAACTCAAAACGTTCCAACTAAAAAAATAATATGAGGAAATAATAGTAATTCCTATGATGCAATTGGAGCTTATCGTCAGAAAAGAATCCGTTTAGATAGTCCTTTGTGGCTCCGGTGGCAACTATATCTATACTTTGAATTCACTTTATTAATCACAACTTTGGCCGATTTACTTTTAATAATTCTAACTTTTGGTTATTGTATAACAATCCCAACTTCGATATGAGTTTGCCTCCAGCAGTCTCAATGACCGGTAACATGCTAAAAAGGCAAAAAAATATTTAAAAGCTACGTGACAGCATGTGATTGCTTCAAAATATATTTTTTTAAAAAACCCAAGACCCAGCCACCCGTTTCCCCCTTCTCCCACCACTAGCCCCACCCCTAACCCCACCGGAAATCGGTCGGCCACCCCCTTTAACCCCTAAAAGCGGTCGACTGACCCCTCCCAACCCTTGAGACCACCCCGCCAACCCACCCCAACCCTTTAAACCACTGAGTATAATAGGGTACCCTGCCAAAATTCCTGAAATTGGAACCGAAACCTATTGAACAGGTTCCTGAAAAATGAAAATTTGTCTCTGCCGGGGTACCCAAAGGTCCGGTTCCAAAAAATCAAGAATTGTACCGAAACCTGTTGCGACAAAAACCCGAACCTGTGGTTCCTAACAGGTTCCAGTTTTGATTATGAGTACTCCAATATTTTGCTCACACCTATAAACCACCCCCTTCCTTCCTCTACCCTCATAAAACAGCCCCCCCACCCTTTCCCATCGCTAACACTGCCCTACCTCCCTTCCCCCATCGCCACAACGACTGGCTTTGTGGGTTGCAAAAGGGAGGAGGGGCGGTTTCAACGGTGGGGAAAGGGAGGGGCGGTTTCGGCAGTAGGGAAAGGGACGACCATGTGGTTTTGAGGTAGGAAGAGGTCGGCCGACCATTTAGGGGGTTAAGGGCGGTGGCCGATCAGTTTCCGGCGGGGTTAGGGGTTGGGCCAGGGTTTCATGGTAGGGTTAGGGGTGGGGGAAGGGGATGGGGTGGATAGGATGGGTTTTGGGTTTTTTTTTCTTTTTCTTTTTTTATTTAATTTTTTTTTATTTTTAATTATTTATTTAAATTTAGACCAATCACGTGTCATAATTACTTATTATAACAGGTTGTTGACTCGTTATTGACTGATTGGGACTACAGGAGGCAAACTCATTCAAAGTTGAGATTAGTCAAATGCACGTCCACTAACCAGTCAAAAGGCCATTTTAGATTTTTTTTTCTATTTTTTAAAATTAAACGGATTGTTTCATCCATTTGCGCCTCGATTGGCTTTTTTTCGCCGAGTTTTTTGAAACCTTCAAATTTTTTTGTAATTGTTATGCATTCCTTATTAGTTTTCTTTTTGTAATTTTTTTTTGCATCCTCTTTTTGCATGCCTTTGGTATGTTCTACGCCTTTTAAATACACCATCTTTGGTTGATTCGGTGCCCTTAAAACAACTCCGCGCCTATTTGAGTATTGGTGGCCTATTAAAATATGCAGTATTCCTGAACTACGTAATGTATATCCTGCAGGTGGTAGCTACTCGACAATGCGCAGCGAACAAGATGTTTTTCTTACTACATAAAATCTTCTCTGGACATAAAAACTAAACAACACCCTGACTACCGCAGTTATATGCTCTCTGAATTTGGGTACTATTCATTTATCTATAGATTATTATCTTCTCTATGTTTTCCTGACTACATTAACATATTCTGGACCAGCATATATAATACCGCTCTGACTATAGTGATTATTCTCTTAATTTGCGTACTATTCCAGAGACTACGAGTTTAATATTTATGATTACGGTGTTTTTCTGACTACACAAATAATTATTATTCTTTTTTTTTTTTTTTTCCTTGTTTTAAGCTGAAAACACGGGTGTTCGTTCATATTGAGGTAAATTTTGTGCTTTACCAATAAGTCATATACCCTCTATTATTCTCCGATATTAGGGGGTTTCTCCTATTATTACTGATTGTACTTTGATAACCTCGCTAACTTAATAACAACAAGTAAGTAAAATTGCACTACTCGTAAAACTTAAGCAAGAATTGAATAAACTAAAGAAATGAACAATACATAAATTAAAGCTGAAATTGCCTTCCATTAAATAAAAGGATAAAGTTAGGGCTATATTACATCCAAAATTAAAATTTCATTGACTGAAAGGTTCGACTAACAAAGTAGACCACAACAAGAATATTCATCTATGAAGTTATTACGACCCGACGATGATAGATTTATGATTGGCTAAGGATGAATGTTAAAGCCCAAAGGAAAGGCCCAATGATTAAATGAAATCGGGTTATAAGAATTTAAGAGATCAATTTAAATGGAGTTTGACGCCTAGAGTTGTAACCATCCAACGGTTTTGGAAGATCATGGTGGAGATTACAGTGATTATTTGCCTATAAATAGAGGAGGAATTCCAGAGAGAAGACATCAACAAATCAATCAACATAAAGCATTTCATTTCTTTTAAGCTTTCAATTCTTTACAGCTATCTTAGTTTTCCCTTGGCTTAGTAGTCAAACGATAGGATTGTTTATTTAGCATATATTGAAGGATTGTTTATTAGCATATATTGAAGATCGATTATTTATTCCAATTGTAAACTGGAGGTATTCTTTCCTTCACCTTGTACAATTGTAGTCCTGACTTCATCTCTCAATTAATGGAAACCGTATGCATCTTTTGTCACATATTTGTCTGTTCATTTCTTTAGCAATCCAAATTTTCTACAACTTCTTCAAGGATAACTTCTTCACTGTTTTGATGTGTTACATTAGCGAGGTTATCATTCTTGAAACTAGTAACAAAAGAGGCAGCCCCTAAATAATCTAGAATAAGATTGGATATGTAACACCCCCAGATCTCCCTCTACGGAAATACCAGTATAATATGTATAATTATATTGTAGAGATAGACTTAGGCGTATTACCGCCGCGTGATTACGCAAGTCTACTCAAACTTTTAACCAAAACCAATACTTTGCAGCGGAAACTCAAACTCTTTCTTTATTGATAATAAGTATAAATAGAAACCATCGTCATGAGTACTCATAATTAGACAAAGACCAACATTCCTAATCTAGGTGAAGAACATTCTCGGGACTACCATATGCTCAATTCTTGACTCCACAAGAAATTAGTCAACATTTCTTACCATTACGGTAAACAGGGCGAACCAAAACAAATTAGAAATACGAATTAGCAAAATGTGCAAAGTACGATAAGTGCAAGATAAGTAAATTCAACTTATTTGCAAACATGCTTTTAAAACCAATTCCAATGTTAGTCCAATAATTCCAAACTCAAAATTTCAAAACCAATTCCAATAATATAATTCCATTTCATAATTCAAAATCAATTCCAATAATTCAATAATTCGATGAAACGATTTATAAAACTAATTCCTCCTTTGAAAACCAATTCGTCTTTTGAAAACCAATTCTCAAATATTCTCAAAATAATTCCAATAACTCAATAATAATGATTAATAAAATCAATTATTTTCGAAAACTCAATCTCCTCTCTAAGTGTGCACACCCTCCAAGCTAGTCTCCTACTATTTCAAGGCTATTATTGGAGAAAGACTAGGTCATACAAAGTCCATAGCCTTTAATGAATCCGCATAATGGGATTAATATAATAATTATACTTGTAAAGCTTTTTAAATAATTCAATAAACTTCTTTAACTCAATAATTCTAATAAATAACTCAAACTCCTTTTTAATTAAATTCAACTTGCTTTTAAAGTCAACCTTTTAATAAATACTTGAGAATTAAATCTCATATTAATAACCTTTCAAATCAATAATTCTTCCTTTAAAAAAAAAACCTTTTATTTAATTCATCAAACTTTTCTAATCAATTTCTTTATTCAAACATGATAAGTATTCAAACCATTCAAAACATGATATAACATCAATCCTCCAATTTATTTATCAATTATTTAAACATGCTTTTATTTCATAAATCATAATTCAATCATCATAAAAATCGTAGAAAACATGCTTATTCAATCCAACCAATTTAAAAGGTATCTAGCCACCTAGCTAAACGTACCTTTGGTCCTTGCTTAGCACACACAAAGAAACTTTAAGAACTTGGATCAAGCATACCCTATAATTAAATATAACCTTAATTAATATAAGGTTAACAAATAATTACAACAATTAAATTAAAAAAAAAAACCCCAACTATATGTACATGAACCTTTTAAATTATTTTTCATAAATATGAATAACATTATGATTTTATTTAATTAAAACTACTCATAATAATTTTTATAAATCTCCCATAATAATAATAATTAATTAAATAAGAGAAGAGAAGAAGAAGAAGAGGTAGAAAACCAAGGAAAAGAGAGGACTGCGGTCGACGGCAAGTGGCAGCCGACGGTGGAGGTGGTGGTAGTGGTGATTGGTGGTGGTGGCGCAAGAAAAGAAAAAGAGAAGAGAAAATTAAAGAGAAAGATTAAGAAAGAATTAGAGAATTTGGTGTAAGTGTTTAGCCTGAATCAGTGGTTATTTATAGGCTAGCTCATGCATGAATTATGGTAAGAGAATGTAATAAGAATTATGGTAAAATGAATTAAGGAAATTCCTTGGAGAAGAGTGTTAAAGAAATATGAAAAGTTTGAGATTATGGTGATTAAGAATAATAAAATTAAGAAAAGTATGTTGTCATAA